AGCAAAACAGTTTCCAAAAGTTTAAAAAAATTAGAGTTGTGACTTTCTTATTTTCAGTGGAATTTCCCTCATGACAATATTGACATTTCTATTTAAGCAGATAACATAAAACCCTACACAGAATAAGAATTAAGGTTATAAAATCTAGTCACATTTCCAGAAAAAAAAAAAAAAAATCTACTATAAAATACAAAATTGTATTTTCCAGTGCTTACAAACTTTAATTTTTCTTTTATTAATTTAAATAAACAAAAGTTTTAAAGATGCCTGCAATCACTTTTATCAGTGCAAAGGGGCCTGAACTATGATTGATAGGATTGGCATCAAAGGTCTAAATTTGTTCAGTTAAACCAACATGGCAAAGACACACTTGACTATCTATCCAGAATGCGAGTAAATCAAAGAAATAGAAACCAAACATAAAATGTATTAAAGATGAAAAAAGGAAAGTTTGACAGAATGAGATCTTTTGCAGATACAACAGAATCCTGATAGAGACAACAACACAAAAGAAAGTTAAATACACACAAAGAGTCCAACTTGGCCCTAAATTAGTTCTGCTGACCCCCATGCTCAAAAGAGTAACTATATTTAAAATATATGACACATTTTTGTTAAACTGTTTAGTATCTGGATCACCATAAGCACTGTGAGTGAGAGACTTGAATTTTGTTATAATTTTAACTAACACAATGCTTCATTCAGCGTAGCACAAAACTACATCAGTTAACAGTTGCCAAGTCCCATGTACACATGGGCGCCCGCAGAGGGGGCCCCCCTGGATTGATTGGATAAAAAAAATTTAGACAAAAATAGACAAAAAAATGTATTAAAGTAAAGAGAAAATAAAGAGAAAGTAAATAAGCTGATGTCCTGTCCGTTCGTTCACCATACAAATACGCTACAGTAAATTAAAACTACATTAAAACATTTCTAAAAATTTTTTTGCCCCCCCCCCGGAAAGTTAATCGATTTCTTTGCCACCCCTAGAAAGTTTTCTGCGGGCGCCCATGCCTGTACATACTTAGGGATAATTCCTTGACACAAAAGAAGTGTAGAAATACAATTAATACATGAAAGCCTCACAAAAATTTTGCACATAAATAATAAAACAGAGAGGTTTATCTTTTTAAAAAATATTTAAAATAAAATTACAGTTAAAAATTTCATTGACTACAATACATTTTATCAGGAGGATTGAAGATGATACGAAATTATAAATTCAGCACACCAGAGGTGAATATTTTAAGAATTGGATTACATGTCTATCACATCTATTGAAAGAATACAAACTCAGTTGTTTTTTTATGGACTAAGACTAAGTTAGACTAATGCTAACTTAGGCCTTTAAATTGCATCTAAAATAAATTAGAAAATATTATTCTTTAATTTCATTTATGTTTTAAAGCAAACCTATTTGTAAATTTAGCAATCAATTTTTATGAATCACTTGAAAAATATGTAGATTAATTATTTTTTCAAATATTATCCTTGTAATAGTAAAATTCCAGGACACAAACCATGATATGAATGAAGTTCAGGGGTGGGCAAACTACGGCCCATGTTATGGGCCCCTCGAAGGCATTAAGAAATATAAAAAAAAATTACTTTGTTTTTAAGTTATTTTGTTGAATTTTACACAATTTCATGTTGACCTACTGTTATGATTGTTTTAACACTTTTTATCAAATTTATTTCTAATTTTCAATTTTTTTAAAACAGTCCTTCACTTTTGTCCTTTAATGCTAAAATACAAATTTACCGATTTTAATATAGAGAAGTGTTTGACATTTAAAAATTGGACATAATATACATGCACTCCCCCCCCCCAATAGCTTTACATTTGTCAATGTGGCCCTCCGCACAAAAGTTTGCCCACCCCTGATGTAGTTAATATTAATGTTTTAAAGAAATCCTTCCATGATTACTTTAGATTATTTTAGGACCTTCCTAGTACCAAGGTCCTACTTATTAGTACCAAATATTTCTTTAATGAAAACTGATTAAATTAATGTATAAATTAATAATGATTAAAATTAAAAAGGGACCCTCAGCTTGTTTTCCTATTCACGAAGTCAAACATTTGACCATAACAACTTCTGATAGATAATGATAATAAAAAGGACGAGCTGTGGTCAGGATCCACAGCATGTCATACATAATTTTTTTTTTTTTAATAAATCAGAATATTTAAAAAAATAATAATTTAAATAACACTTATATAAATATAAATGTACCAATGTTATATTTAAGTAACAAAAGTTTTTTTTAAAAAACTGTTTGCCCTGGATGAGGCTTAAGTAAGAATATGAATATTGTACACAAAAAGATTTGACATGCAATAAACTTCTAAAATTATAAGAAAATAAAAACAAGTTGGTCAATGTTAATCAAGTGCTTGAGAGCCGGGAATAAATGAGTAAGATCTCTTTTGGCCCGCTGGCATGCTCTTCGCTCAAAATGTGTCACCTTCTGACAAAGAACACTTTATAAATGATCAGTAGATAAGATTATCATCTCAAACAGGCAGGCAAACCACTCTTCTTTCTCCACTGCCCCCTAAAAAATAAAAAACGTATTGGTACATACCCTCAACAAAAACAGATAAATTTCCGCGTAAAATATTTCAAGGATTTATAAATGAGGTTTTTCTACTGAAATGTTACTGATTGTTGCACTGATAAAGTTGTATTAAACATGCTTTTTTTAATACAAGATTAAGGCATGCAAGTTAAAAGCTTTATCTTATCCCCCACCCCTCCCCCCACCGACCCTGAAAGCTGTAATAACATTCATCATAAAATAACATATTTCAAATTTTATTACAAAACAAATCTTGAACGCAATGCTGAATTGATTATCTTTAAATGCCAAGACTGTGGAAGATCATGATTGAACGATGAATGATTTTGTTCTGTAAAATTTAACAATTTTTTTATGCCATAAATTGACAAGTGCATTGTACTGTTCATAGATCTCTCACATGTGACGTGTTAACGTGTGCGTTAGCCTTTTTATACATATCATGTCGGGGACACATAGCTTTGAAACAAGTTTAATTACAAACTGAGCAGACAAGGTATTTGAAAGTATTCATGTTACACAGGCCAATCTACTGTACAGATATGAATTTTTGTGAAAGACATGACCAACAGTGTTCAAACAGACTCATTCATCCAGGCTGACAATTATAACCGCTTCTGGTGAGCACTTGGAAAAATCTAAGGTTGTCAAGATTAAAAAAATTATCTCCACCTGGCCCCAGATGGGATTGCTTTTGGATTAAATTTTTCACAGCAAAAGCCAGAGGGGAAAGCAAAAAAAAAAGGGCACACAAATTATTTACCGTTTTGTGAAAACAATTGAAAAAAAAATACATGGTCTGTTTGACTTGTAGATTAAATTTCAAATTCTTTTCCAAAACTTTTTTTCATACCAAACCAATATTTCTGATATTAAATATTTTTTAAAATGTTGTGCTTATGTTATTTATTTGAGTAAATTTTTTTCAGGGTAAAAGCACAGGTGAATAAACATTTCAGAAACTTTATTAGTTTAGTCAACAATTGTACTTATTTGTAGTCCATAAATTATAGAAGAATTAATCATAAAAGTAACCCCATTAGATGTACTGAGCTTTCTTTGAGTATATGTTAATAACTGTTTCAGAACAATCCAACAGAAAGCAAGAACATTGGATGTTTTCAATAGGGTTAATAAATAGCTGAATCATTGATAGAATAGAACCCACTTTATACACAATGAAGTTGCACATCCCGTCTTCTTGCTTCAATAACATTTTTACTCCCCACATTTTAAACAGACAAAGAAATGTCACCCTTTAAATTTTCTGTATACTCATAAATGCAGTGGTTCTCAAGCTATGGACCGCAGACCTTTGGTGGTCCATGACTACTAACCCGTTGTCTGCCAGAAGGACACTTAAAATTAACTAATTTAACAGAAATAAATTTCATTATCTAGTAGTTTATCTAATCTAAATATGTCTGACATGTTGCAATAGAAATTTCAACACAAGTTAAGAGAGTAGCTGGTCAAGATGGTAAGTCTGGTAAAATTTCAAAATAAAAAAGATATTCACTTCCAGATGTTGAAAATAAGTTAATTTTGTGTGTATTCCAAAGTATTGATTAACTTTGCTCAAATGGGTATTTCAGGAATTACATTTTATTAGTTCAAATTATTCAAGATACAATTCTTTCTTTTTTTTAAACTGAAATTAATTAAAATTATCCCAGTTGGGCTAATAACAGCCAGTAATGTTGAACAATTTAGTGGTAGTTAATTATCTTTTTGTCTAAATCATGTGCATGATTCATTTAGTCCTTTCACATGGAATATGGACTATGTTTATTGACAATTTAATTAAAATAGTCATGAAATCAATCATAAAGTAATCTGAATAAGCCCATGCCCAGTACAATTTTCAAAAGTTTAATTTTTGCTTTTAAACAAATAACTGATATGAAAATTCCACTCTCCTCGCCCTTTACAGCTACAGACAGTTACAGACAGCTTCAGACAGTTACAGACAGCTACAGCCTTCTAACAATTTTTCAATTGTAGCAGAAATCAAATAGTAGTCCATTATTACAGCACATAGTTTGCTAGTGGTCCAGGAGTTTAATTAGGTTGAGAACCATTGCAGTAATGGTAACCTGATACTTTACATATCTAGCCAAAAGTACTTGTTTGCTAAAAAAATAATATTCAGATTTAAAAAATAATAATAATTTCCCAATCATTTGTTCATGTATGAATTCCCTGAGGAACACAAGATAATATAATTTAGTTACAGCATAAGAATTAATGAATAGATGGAGCTTCAGTTATTAAAGCTATTCAGATCATTTGTCAAAACTGAAACTGTTCATGAACTGGACTGTTTCAGATGTTACAACCAATTTTATTTTTGAAGCTTCATCCTGCATGACGACACCCACAAAAATGAGTTCAGTTTACAATAAATGGCGATGAGATCATGTGTTCAGCAACTGCAGCCCGTGGCCAGTGTCCAGCTGCCCGGGCGGCAACCACTTCATTTGCAGCCACCTCATCCACCGCAGGCAGCACCTGCAGCAACAGAACGGTGAGCCCAAACTCGGTAGATTGAGGACCTTCATCAGAGGCTTCATGACGGCTGGAAAGTTGACTCTCCAGTACCCCTCTACGTCCTCCCGAGTTGGGAGGTGGAATGTGAAATCTGCCCAACTTCCCGAGACCTTGTATATTGCCCGTAGAGGTCGTGATCTTGTGGTCCAGTCGACGTCTACTTCCTGTCCTTCATTAAACAGAGCATAAGCTTTTGTAAAGCTGCCAACTGTGCTTTTTTCCCCAACTTCAGCTGACTCAGGCCGGTTGATATATCTGAATAATGGAAATGAGAAACATTCAAATAGCTTTACATAAGCAAATATCAAGAAAACTTTATTTCCTGAGCTTATTGATATCAAGTCAACACAATGCTGTAAGCATATAGATTAGAGAGAAAAATGATATGCTTCAACTAAAATTATTTTGAAAATGTGTCCTTCAAGCCCTTGGCTCCTGATCCTAAAATACCCATGCCCCATGGCTCCTGATCCTAAAATACCCATGCCCCTTGGCTCCTGATCCTAAAATACCCATGCCCCTTGGCTCCTGATCCTAAAATACCCATGACCCTGGGCTCCTGATCCTAAAATACCCATGCCCCTTGGCTCCTGATCCTAAAATACCACATGCCCCTGGGCTCCTGGTCCTAAAATACCACATGCCCCTGGGCTCCTGGTCCTAAAATACCCATGTCCCTGGGCTCCTGTGGAAAATTTCCAAAAACTGACACACAAGCCAACAAAGTCGAAAGACTTATAAAATTAAAGAAATTGTATTTATTTCAATCTAAATTTGTCTGTTAGTAGTCCATAAGTATTATAAAATTACTTTAAAATTATTTAAAATAGTCTTAGAATCGGTGTAGAATAGCAAAGTAGAAGGTCATTTATACGATCTTGATTTTTCATATTATCCAGCTTTAGGAATAGGGGTAGACATTGTGTTGTTTCTTAAATTCCTAAAGTACACATCAGTAGCACTAGTAGTTTAAGTTTAAGTCAACTGATGGTCACAATCATTGTCTAGTTGCTTTACTTCAATCTTTTTTCAAAACACAATGATAATCCTCTGAATCATTTACATTATCATAAACCTGCTCTGGTTTGAGTCCTTTAGAATGACAATGTTTGCATTTTCGTCACCTTTATACATCGAAATACAATGCATTCATGGGTGCTGTGACCTTTCGCAAGTCACATGGTAAACACTGAACTCAGTATTTACAACACAATTTTATATACAGTCGATCTATGGAGACCAAAATATCGGTCTGGCAGAGTGTGGATTTTAAAAGCTGGCATCCGTCCGTCACAATGTGACGATGGAGTGGGCTTCGTAGGACGAAATCCACATAGCCTGGGATTATTATACTTGAAGGATTATAAGCTGGTTCCCAACAGCAAATCGCCTCTCTCCACGCAAGGGAACATCATTGGATGATACAGCTTGGCACCAGTGACGTCGCAGGAGTTGTCGGAATGTTTCATTGTATCAATGTTATCCGCCTTTCGGGACTCCATCTCCGGGTTTGATTTCAGAGTTTCCTTCTCTTAGATGAGTTGCCGTCCAAGGTTATCGAGTCCCATCTACCCAGGGTGCTGGTGGTGTTTTTGCTCTAGCTGGAATTGAACTCCAGACCACCAACTTGAGATTTGCTCAGTTTAGACCACTCGGCCACCCAGCACCCCAAATTTTAAAGGCACAGACCAATAAAACAGGATCTAGGGTTCAAAGGGCTAATTACTGATACTAAAGTTACTATTCTTTCCAAAACTAATTCCACCAACAATGTTCACCAACCTGCAAGTCTGAATTGCCAAATAGGATGTCTGGACAGATTGACAGGCCTGGGCCCATTTGAAGGAATGTGTGGTGTCAAGGACAAGAATGAGACGTGACCCAGAGTTTTTGTCTTTCTCATTCCACCAGCTCAGCAGCATTGGCAGCGACAGGCTTTTTTTATCTGGACATTTAATTATATCAAACTTTTAGCCAAGTTGCATGATGGGAAGAACATATAGAGACAAAGGTGACATTTAGAAGTCATAATACTGAAGTTAGTCTCTTTTTTTTTCTTTTAATTCGAACCATTTCATTTTTAAATTGAGAATAATAAATAAAAAGTAACACTTTGCTTATTATGTAAAGTGTGATAGTGTGATACATTTTCTATGAAATTTAACATACACTAAATTTAGTTGTTGGAAACAATTAAATAAAACTTGACATGTTTTCTGCCATAGAACAGTTTAGAGGTTTCAACCTATTCAGTGAAGCAAATTTGGCTATTAGTGAGTAGGCTAAAGTTCAGACCCCATGAGTTACACTTTTAAAGAAGCTTTTTAAACAGTTTCTTACCCGTCAGTGCCCAGTCTCCATTATCAAAAACATCTCCGGAATAATACAATAAATAGGTATCAAATCTAGGACCATCATTGGTACGCCGATCGAAAAATGCTTTCAGCTAGAGAAAAAAATAATAATGTTTTCAGCACGATAATAATCATCAAATCTTTTAACAATCAACTAAAGTATTTGTATTTCATTTGTTAGCATTCCTAAGATGCTTAAGTCTGCAATAATAACTTGTTGATGTTTACAACCTTAACTCAACCTCCTCACTTTATTTTGCAAACTCTCAAGCTCAAGGCCACTGCTGGAATAATCACAGCCGAAACTTTGTATCATGTGATAGTTGAAGAGTTGCTGCATTTGGTTTACTTTATCTGTGCTCCTGATTCCGATATCCTGCACATCCCCACTGGACAGCAGCTGCGCTCCTGAACTTGGCCTTAAATGAAAATGATTTGCGTGCATAAGTTACTGCTTTATCAGACCGATCCTCTGTGTTAAAGGACGTTTTCATTTAAAGAGCTTATGGAATCTAGCCAAAGATGACAAAAAGTTGCGCAAGTCAACCGCAAAATGTAACAATTCAGAAGGAAAAAAATTGAAATCAAGTTACTGTGAGCCTTACCTTAGTGTTGTTACTGGACTGATGACAGCATATCCTATACATGTACCACCAAGGTTGTCCCCCAGTTCCCAAAACAAACTAACAATGGCAGACTCAAGTGGTAAGACAAGGAAGACCAGCGCCAGAGTGTACGGGGTTCTTGTCTCAAATCCAACAGCAAAAACAATCAATGTAGTAACCAAGGAAAGGAAGATAATTCTCTGGGATACAAGTCCAAAATAACGAAGACCTGAAAAGGAAATTTTTTTTTTAAATGGTTATTTCTCGTACCACTTTTCTCTAATACCAGATATTCTCAAATAGTGGTGCCTGGTCTCAATTTTCCCCTGAAGCTTTTTTCATTTTTTGTATAGCTAATAAATTGAAACATTTTAAAAACATTTTATTAGTGATTTTTGTGAAAATTCAGTTTTTTTACTTCATAAATATATAAAGTCATGAAAGAAATCGTATATTTTGTCAAAAACCCAAACCATTCCAAATAATATGTTTTAAATCAAAGGGGCTTTTCAAATCATTATTGACATTTTACTAGATTTTACTTCTTTTGTTCTAAAGAGTATCGTTGAAAAATAATGTATACATTTAAGAATCTTATGTATGGTTCTCCAAAATTAATTACTTTTTTTTTAAACTTTGCAAACACGCACAAAAAAAATACGTATTCACCTTTTGCTGCCATAATTCTGTTAAAACTTCTCCTCTCATCAGCACTAGCATTGCACTCTGTTATTTTCCCATTCAGTTTCCAGGATGTGAGAAAGACCATGAGATGAAACATGAGCCATACAATGGCAAGAACAATATATAAAGGGAAAACAATGTACCACTCTTTGTGCCTGGAGGTCCCATGTCCAACAACAACAGCTAGCACCAGCTCCAGCGAAAACATCAGTAATACGAATAGATATCTCATAAATCGAGATTTATCAAAATAAGATCTCCACCTGTCAATCATGGACAGCCCACAGAAATAAAAGTCTATGATGGGCTGGAATGCGTGTCTTCCAACAAAACAGGTCAGTGCATAAATATTTGGCTTTACTTCAAGGGCAGGAAAGAACAAAAAGATCCCCACAAAAATGAATGCAATGAAACTGAAGAATCCCATGAATGATTTCAGCCTCATGGCCGATATATGGAAAATGTATGCAAGGGTGTACAGTGATAGAGCTATGCTATCCACACCGGTTACTAAACTGGCAATTATCAGACCCAAAGACTCCAAACCCTCTGATAATGTTAACAGTTTGGCCTCAACTGGTTTTAGCTTGAGTAAACTTTCTAATACATTCCAGAACCATCCCAAGACCATGCTGGTGAGAAACATCACTTCCATCACTTCCTCCATAGTGACATATTGCAGCTGAGGATTGTTCGTGAAGGCCAAGATTCCAATCAAACAGCCAACCCAAATGTGGAACAGAGCTTTGCCAAGGTCTTCCAGTCCAAAGTAATACTGCAGGGCACATGAGATTGCAAACACAAATGCTCCCAAAATGGCGATGACAGATATGGTGACATCTTCATTGAATGACCACTGCGTGTACAATCCCATTCCAAGGGCAACAACTAAAATGAGCTCTGGAATAAACCTAACATACTGTATTGTCATGCGAGTTTTAGCATCTTTGATTCCTGCCATAATTTGTGCTGTCCAGTGAATGAGTAAGTATTTAAGCTTTGAGCAGCAGCTGATGCACGATAATCTGATACTACTCCTGTAATATAAATATCTTTTTCTCTTTATGCAATGCTTCAAATATCCAATCTTCATCCTAAAGGTAAAGGATTTTTAGAAAAGCTTTTCATATTCTTTGTGTGTCTGAAATAAATAAAGATTCATTTGATTGAAATTGAAATCATTGCTTTTTTCATGATTGTATATTTTATTAAGTATTATTATAGAGCTTTCCCATCCCTGGAATCTAAGAAAAGACAGACTTAGTACTTGATGCAACATGCCAGCAATTCGCTGGGCAAAAACTTCGTCCACAGATTATACAAAAGAATAGAGCATTAATTCCCAGTCAAGATCCAGTTATGGTTCATGGCAACAAAAAACTTGTTGGTTGTCCAAAACAAATTTGAAAATCAAAAGAAATGTTTTGTCTTTTACCCCCTCCCACCTAGCTCATTCATTTCAAGAGTTTCTTTTGTGTTTTAATTAATTTTTTTTTTACTGTTGCTTGTTCACTGATGAAGGCTTTGCCAACACGTTCGTTGTTTTGTTGTATCCTTTTTTTTTTCAGGTTTCCCCATACTTTATTTTGCTCATTAAATTTAATTTCCTGATAAATGAATAATAACATAAATTATGATAAATGTAACATAATAGGTACCCGTAATAGAAAGTGAACTGAGATAACTTAATAATCAGATAATCATTAAAATTTAAAAAAGAGAAATTAAATCCAGTAAAAAATGCAATTTTTTCAATCCTTCCAACAGAATACGAATACGATTGATTGATTTCTGATGATTGATTTGACTGATGAAGTGTTGTACTGTTGCAGTTTTTGTGTAAGTAAATAAAGTGTCAGTAACTAGCCACTCTGTTTCTAGCACTACTGATAACTGTAGTTAGAGTAGCACTCTAGAGACTAGGCCAACTACACTCTGGTATGTTATTACTATTACTAGTCTAGCCAAATTCGAATAGGCCTTGAGCCTAGGGCTCGGGCTATTTAGTAGTTAGTATTATTATTTATTGAATTGGGACCTAGCTACGAGATTACATTACAGAGTTACAAGTAAATTTACATTAAGATTCATATTCATATCAAGGGGAATACATAATTAGGGGAAAAAATCCGAAGATTATCATTCTTTCACTTGATAATAAATCATACCTAGAGTCTAGGCTTTCTATTTTACATTACATAGTAATAGTAATAGTACTATGAAGTACTCGAAGTCAAGTTCACAAAACTAAACACAATAAAATTTCTAGTATATGGGTTCTCATACAACCGAAATCAGAAGTATCTCTGTGGTATTTTCTACATAATATATTTTCCTATAAAGTGGGTCAATATTAATATGAAGAGCAAGTAAATTTTGAAATGAATTCTAGGCCTAACTAAAATCACTTTTTGGCTTTTTATTTAGACATACATGCAGTTGGGTATAATTATTTTTTTTTTAATTTTAATGTTTTAGTTTTATTATATTAATGATCTTAATTTCTTTCTGCTTTTTTAAGCAAAAAAAAATTTAAAAAAATAGTTTAACAATGTCACTCAATGCTGAATTTGTTATTGTGTCAACTAACCGTTTCAATTTACTATTCAAAAAATACCATCAATACCAAAATTAAAATTGCATACCTAAAGTTTTTTTTTTTTCTTTTTTTTTTAAATAGTATAGTGTCTGTTTTAAATAGCCCGGTATTATATTAATTAACATGAATTAATATTTGGGAGGCAATGATTTTTTAGTATATGTTCTTGAGAGTGGCTAAGCCCTAGCTACTATACTAGTAGGCCTACTACTAGGCTCAGGTTAGTGCCACCCGGGGCGGAAAATATTTTTTGCAGCCCCTTCAACGAAATAACTTCTTGTCCACACACTCTTAATTATCTAACTGTTGCGTAGCAATTGAGGGAGCACAGGTAGCGGCCGCTCCCACTGATACCATTTTAAAATCATTTATATTAACTTCGCTTTTGTTCGAGGGTGGCTGGGTGGCTGACTGACTAGGTGGGTGGCTTGCACAATTTTCAGACGGCTAACTGACCCACTTCATGTCAACCTGCACAGACTCGTTGCCGATGACAACCCTTTCTATCAAATGTATTCCCCCCCAATATCCAAAAATAATGTTTAAACATTCTGTTTTTTCAAGGGGAAGATGAAGGAAATATGATGACTCTGATTTCACGAAATAAAATTCCGATAACTGCGCTAAATGAGATTCACTTTAAAATAAATATCTCAAGTGCGTTTTGCGCTTAATATTTTGTTTAGTTGTTATGAAATAGTTGGTGAAATAAATATGTGGTGTAAAAGCAGGTGGGTCATTGGAATAGTGATACAGTTCAGGATATGCCAGGATATAGGCCTACTTACCTCCATGCCAGGATATAGGCCTACTTACCTCCATGCCAGGATATAGGCCTACTTACCTCCATGCCAGGATATAGACCTATTTACCTCCATGCCAGGCTATAGACCTACTTACCTCCATGCCAGGATATAGACCTACTTACCCCCATGCCAGGATATAGACCTACTTACCTCCATGCCAGGATATAGACCTACTTACCTCCATGCCAGGATATAGACCTACTTACCTCCATGCCAGGATACAGACCTACTTACCTCCATGACAGGATATGTCACTACTTACCTCCATGCCAGGATATAGACCTACTTACCTCCATGCCAGGATATGTCACTACTTACCTCCATGCCAGGATATAGGCCTACTTACATCCATGCCAGGATATAGACCTACTTACCTCCATGCCAGGATATGTCACTACTTACCTCCATGCCAGGATATGTCACTACTTACCTCCATGCCAGGATATGTCACAGGGTCATTAACGGCCATCTGCTTTTCGTCAACGATGTAGCGTACCTAGGGTTTGGCCTAGATGCCCTTACGCCACGTGAAGTGGCATCGTCACATCTGGAGGGACCACAATGAATTTCCATTTGTTCTAGAGAGTTAGAAGGGGGTGGGGGGGGTAAGCACCCTACACAAATATAAACACTCACCCACAAAGTGTCATGATTTTTAATAGAAGATTTGTTAACCTACTAAGTTAATTTAGTTTGAAAAGAAATTAAAATAATAATAATAATGTATTACTTATACCTACGAACCTATGTAATTAATTGTGAGAAAAGTAATTTTTATTTTTATTTATTTTATATATATATATATTTTTTTTTTCGTTGTAAATTGTTTCTGGGTTTTTCGATTAATGAACTCAAAAGTTTTCAAGAAAAAAATTATTTTAAAAACCTTATGAAAGTCTTTTGTGAGTAGGTACATGTTTAATGATCGTTTGCTGTGCTGGATCCATAAAATGTTTGTATGCTAATAATTTAGATTACTTGACCATAAAAAAGCTATCTTTGGACTTTGCAATAATAGGCTACTGCAATGGTCGGCAAATCGCGGCTCAAAAACCGCATGCAGCCCTTTATTGACCCGAGTGCCAGTCGGCCATAAATCGGTTTTGACTCCGAAAAAAAAAGTTCTTGACAGATTCTTGAAAAGAAATTTGACTCTCACAAAAAATTTAATCGTTCTGCAGCTGATTTTTTGTGTGCATCGTTTGACTAATGAGTTTTCCGACCACTGGCCTATTAATATCATTATTACTTAGTGAATCATTTCCCTAAACCAGGTCTGCGCAACTCATAATGTAAGGCGGACCGTAATACTTTATAAATAACTTGTGCGGGTCGTAATACTATATGAATAACTTGTGCGGGCCGTAATACTATATGAATAACTTGTGCGGGCCGTAATACTATATGAATAACTTGTGCGGGCCGTAATACTATATGAATAACTTGTGCGGGCCGTAATACTTTATAAATAACTTGTGCGGGCCGTAATACTTTAAAAATAACTTGTGCGGGCCGTAATACTATATGAATAACTTGTGCGGGCCGTAATACTATATGAATAACTTGTGCGGGCCGAAAGATAATAGGACAGGGGCGAATGCTATAATAAAAAAGATCATTTCGATTCTTCGCGGGCTGCCAAGTGAGTGCTGGCGGGCCACATGTGGTCCCACGGACCGCATGGTGTGCAATCCTGCCCTAATTTATAACGTCAGAGGAAAATGCGTTGTCTGATGCTAATTTTTTTTTTCTGATACAAGGCCTTATTGCCATGTTTGGTGGGGGTTTTTTCTTCGTTTTTTTTTTTAATTTATTTATTTTTGACTGATGAAGAACTTGGGAGTAAAAACAAAAAATTTCCAAATTTTAATTCTTAGTTGGTACATTTAAATTGTGGGTTCGTTTATCATTAAGGAATGGGTGAAAGCTTTTAATAAAGGGTGAGTGCAGACCCAATTCCTAGCATTTAATCGTAATAAATAAAACATTTCAAATGGAGCCGACTACAATATGCAAACTTGATCCCAGCACAGGTTATACCAGAGGTATCAAACTCAAATCATCCGGGGGCCGTATGAACTAGAGTCTGATTGAGACAGGGCTGCATCAAGTATTACAAAAAAAAAGTGATTAAAAATTCAATAAAGTACAACTGTTACAATGTGCTCAACCTTTATTAGTAACAAATAAAAACGTTAAGGTTTCTCAATAACTTGACTTCACTTTCTTACTCCTACTTGATGCCAGAGACTTGGCAGCGCTTCTTCTTACACAGCTGATAAACACTTGGCTTGAGTGATGAGGCAACTGAGCCCCTCAGTAAAGCTAGAAGATGCTCATCAGTAATTTTGGCCCTGAATTTTGCCTTGTTTTAGTTCATAGTGGAAAGGAGCTTTTCACACAGATAGTTATTCCCAAAAAAGGCACTTGATCTGCTTGAACAACATGGAAATCTCAGGGAAGGTGGAAGGTAACGCTCTCACAAATTGTCCAAGCTTGTCTGTTTTTCTATTCCCCTAACTGAATTTGCCTTGAGTTCAGAGCCTTTAGTTCATACTTGCACTGATGGTCAATGTGCTCCATTTGAAGCGCAAA